CCCTAAACCCTACACCCCAAACCTCTAAACCCTAAACCCTAAACCTAAACCCCTAAACCCTAAACACCTACACAACTAAACCCCTACACCTCCGACTCTGGCAACCCGTAGATCCGAGGCGAGATACCTTGTAGCGAAGGCGCCGGTATCTACGATTAGCGTCGAGGATTTAGGGTTTAGGGTTTANNTTAGGGATTAGGGTTGAGGGATTAGGGTTGAGGGATTAGGGTTTAGGGATTAGGGATTAGGGTTGAGGGTTTAGGGATGAGGGTTGAGGGTTTAGGGCTTGTTCTTCAGGGCTTGGGCTACATGAAAGCAACACTATGCAACGAAGATCCCTGAGGAGGTTTGGAAGCCTTGAAAGAACATTCAACGAAACCCTTACAGAATTAAACCTTACCCTTGCCCGCAAAGGAGTCATATTTTGAGGCTTTTGGGCCCAAAGACCCTATTATATAAGGCTTTTGGGTTATTTTGATGCTACTAGTAAGGGTTAACCTATATAACAAGTGACGATTCTGCTGCGAGTCTGTGTGCGCTGGAACGGACACGTCCAATCCAGGACCGGTGATGTAGGCCTCAGTCTGGAAGCAACCGTACAAGCCCCAGGACACCCAGAACAGGGTCCGTCAACCCTAAGCCCTAAGCGCTGAACCCTAAACCCCAAAGCGCGGCTATGAGACACCACAGCCAAGGAAGGAGAGTATGGTTTAGGGGCTCCATATAGACTACCATAGAAACCCTAGGGTGAAGGATTTAGGGTTTAATGGGGTTTAGGTTTAGGGTTTCTCCTGGGGGGGCCTAATTCCATCAGGTATAGATGGACCCTCTGGGTGACAACAATCAAACAAGCTTGCTTCTACTTTATCCTGTGTTTTTTGTGCCGCTTTAAGTACCAGAAACTTAGGGTCTCGCGTTTAGGGTTTAGGGTTTAGGGTCTAGGGCCAGAAACCACAGATGAGGACTACTTGGACCTTTCGGGTAAGCAACACCAAACGAACAAACCCTTTCCCTTAGCATCAAAATAATCCAAAAGCCTGATATAATCGAGTCTTGGGGCCCAAAAACGTTAAACTATGAGTCCTTCGAGGGTCCGGGTTAGGGCCTAGGGTTCAGGGTTTTACTGCCTGATAATCATATACTCTCCCAATACTGGCCCACAAAGCTACTATCCTAAGCCCAAGTAGCTAGTTCTTAGGGGACCCTTAGGTAAAGGAACACGTGTCCTTGTTTGTACTCTAGAACAAGCCTGAAACTCCATCAATCAATGCTAAACCCTACGCACTACCTGTGACCCCAAACCCTGCAACATAGTAGGTTATATGACCCCTTAATTAGAAGGTAAAGCCATTAGAATGGCAGATTTTTGAATCCTTAGGTATTGTAGGGGCCTTCATAATTTCAATAGGGTTTTGGGCTTCTTCATAGTAATTAGAGTTATAAGGAACCCCCAAGGAATAATATCGGTAGTTGTTTAGGCCCATCTGATGCACGGCACTCGCCAGGTCCTCTTGGGTATCAGCCAGGCGCCTGGGCGCATCGAAGAGCCTCCGACCCTAAACCCTAAACCC